GGGCGGCGCCGCTACTCTCTGTCCAGAGAGCAACTTCCTGGAGAGGGGGAAGAACTGCCTGGTCGGGCTGGGCCGATGCGCTTAAGTCACTGTGCATGGCTGGCTGTGGGCCGCCCTGGCCCAGGGCTGCCACGCTGGCCGAGCATGCGACGCCTAAGACAACGGCGCTGCATAGTGCAATGCAGCGCCCTGCTGTCGAGCGCCACACAGAACGGTCTGTTATGTGAAAAAAATTTACGACCAGGTCAGATCATGAATTGATTTTGTCCTTAGGTCAAATATGTTATTTCTGCCCTCATACTCAAATTCTAGCTCCGTCCCTAGCTACTACCTCATGATAAAGTCGGCTCGGTCACCGGATAAAGTACATGCACATAAAGTGTTCCTTGCCAATAGACAGCGCGGAGTGTAGACCAATTCATTGCTCGTATCTCGGCGACAGTTCCTGCAGCATCCCCTCGTTGAACAAAAAACCTTTTCTCCCAACATCCTGTCCTTGACGAGAAGACACGCAAGCAATGTAGTGACGGTGACCACTCAGATGCCTCCATTGCAGGGTCCAAACAGCATTCAGAACCTCCGTTGTGACGCAAACTGGGGACTGCGAGCACCTCGATAGTAGTGAGGCGATGCCATGGGATCATATAGAAGAAATTCATTGTTGTCGTATGGCTCCAACCCTGCCATATGCTGCATGGTAGGCAAAGCATAGCGCTGTTCTGTGGTGCATTTTTTTTAGACAATCTCGCGAAGCTTTTATTTAACTCGTCACAATATTTACAGGGACGAAAGAAAGGTCACCCGGGTTGCCTAACCACACACGATGGCCAACCCCAAGTGAAAGAGCATGCTTCGCTAAATTGTGAGCCTCGGTATTCGAGTTCCTAAACTCATGGCTAAAAAAACAAACTAAGAAAGAGCTAGAGCGATCTATTATCTCTCGAATTATAGCTCCGTAGCTAGCCGCGCTACTAAGCTTGATATCGTCAATGACAACCTTACAATCCGACGCTACGAGGATCTTGCGTTCATATAGGTCGTCAGCCAGTGCAAGTGCCTCCCGCACAGCTAGAGCCTCTAGTGCTGTAGGTTCATTAGTTCCGGTGAAGGTGACAGTGGAAGCGCCCATGAACACTCCATCTCGTCCCCGACAAACTGCAGCAACTGTGCCACCGGACCTGTTTCTCAGTAGTGCCGCATCCACATTTATCTTGACCAGATTCTCTGGTGGCGCTATCCATCGGTTCGATCTTTCCTGGGAAACAACATGCTCTCCGGGTGGCTTCGTCAGCAACTTCAGCTCGTTGATGAAAGAATTCACAAATGCATTGGTTGCAAACGGAGTCTGATAGATATCCTCATATATTACTTTCCTTCTTGAACTCCAAATCGCCCAAAGAGTGACCCCCAAACTAGTAAATTCAGTGTGGTTTAGCAAGCTTTGCATACTAAACAGCCATCTCCTTGCGTTTGGGTTCTCGTCGGTGCTCATGAGTTCAACCAGCGGCTCAGGTGCTAGAGCCCAGACGCTCCTCGCCATGGTGCACTCTAGGAGTGCATGACGCCACGAGTCGGCCGCCCCACACAGCCGGCATGCCGGCGAGTCAGCCATGTTGCGATGATGGAGGAGGTCATTTGTAGGAATTGATTCCCTCGCTAGCCACCAGAGAAAAACTCGAATTTTGCTCGGCACCTGGGTGCGCCAAAGAGAAGACCAGCCATTACTCTCGACAGTACTAGACGGACCCTCCGTTTGATACAACCAATTTTCTCGTGTTAGCTTGGTATTTTAGATCATCCGGTAGGCTGATCGAACAGTGAAATTGCCCCGGTCTTCCTTGCTCCATGCCCAAAAATCATCAACTCTTCTTGTACACAAAGGTATTTTAAGAATTGCCTCTGCATCAATTGGTATAAACACTTGTCTGACTAGATCCTCCTTTCAGGAAGAGGTGGCTTGCTCAATCAGCTGTTGCACTCGTAGTGGTGGATCAGCTACTAGCAGGGGCGGAGCCGGGGGGACGAGCAGGGGCCTAGCCCCCCCCCCCTCCCCCCAATGATCCACAATTTTAGTAGGAGCAACGAGTAATTACCAACGAGATTAAATCAATATACGTACTCGGCCCCCCTATACTCGAATCCTGGCTCCGCCACTGGCTACTAGAGAAGTTATAGGCCGAAGTATATCCTGTCTCGGGATCCAGTTATGTTCCCATATGAGTGTCTTCTCCAGTCCCAATCCTCCTGATCACACCCTGCTTCAAGATGTCCCTCCCGTCCAAGATGGCACGCCAAATTTGAGATGGGTGTGAGCCCAATTCAGCCTGTAGAATGCCACAGTCCGGGAAATATGCTGCTTTCAAAATCATAGAGCTCAGCGTATCAGGGTTGTTCAAAAGTCTCCATACTTTCCTAGACAGGAGCGCAAGGTTAAAAATCTCTAGGTCTCGAAAACCCAAACCTCCCATATATTTTGGTCTTGTCATTGTTTCCCATGAACCCCATGCAGGTTTTCCACGTCCTTGTTTGCTACCCCACCAGAATTGCCTGATAATAGACGTGAAACTGTCACATAAACCTCTGGGCAGTCTAAAACAGGCCATTGAGTAGATTGGAATCGCCTGGGCAACAGATTTGATAAGTACTTCTTTTCTTGCAGCTCAGAGTAACTTCTCCATCCACCCTTTAATCTTTTCCCACACACGATCTTGCAAGTATCTGAACGTACCATTCTTGGAGTGTCCCACGTCAGTAGGCATACCCAAGTATTTATCGCTCAAAGACTCCTTATGAACATTCACAACCTGAGGGCACCCTCTGCTAAAGAAGATAGAAGACTTCTCATTGTTTACCCTCTGTCTCGAAGCTCCACAGTAAGTATTCAGCAGGTTTGACCTGCCCTGTTCGGCCTGGGCTGCTGCCTCTTTGGCCCATTGATGACCTGGTGGGCCGGCACAAGCCCACTTGTTCGGCCCAGCTCCTCCGTGTCCTCTCCCCTGTATTTTCAGGGCTTCCTCTCGTTCTGCGCCCTGTCGTCTCCACGCTGCTGCGCATCGCCATGACGCTGCATGGGTCACCTAAAAGCCGTCGCCTTCTTAGCCCTCCCGCACCGGCGGAAGGCGTTGGCACGTTGCCAAACGAGCTCATCTCCGAAATCATTTCCCGAACGCCGGTGAGGTCCGTGTGCCGGTTCCTGTGCGTGTCCAAGGAGTGGTACGTCCTGATCTCTGATCCAGCCTTTGTCGCCGCGCATAAATCTCGCCATGCCGAGCCGCTCATCGTGGCCAGCTGCTCTGAGGACAAAGCCAAGAGCTGGTGCCACGACCTGCGGTTGATGGACATGGATGGTAATGTCGTCAAGGTGCTGAAGGGCATAGATGGCTCTCCGTTGATCTCCACGAGCTCACATGACCTCATTTGCGTGGCAAATTACTCTTATTCTTATGCTAACGCCCAAGTGATCGACCCGGCCTCGGGGAAGGTGCTCGTGGACTGTTGAAAATATGAGCAAATTACTACGAGATTTAATCCGAATTAACATAAAATAAATCATGACTATAGTAGCAGAGATTGAACTAATCATGCGAACTAGCATAGCAGATGAACAGATCACATCTAGGGCACATACTAGAAACATGAATTCTACCACGATCTCGAACAGGAAAGATAGAATCACGTACGGTGCAGCGGGAGCAGCACCGCCGGCGTTGACGTTGTCGCCCATGTCGTCGAGGATGAGGTTGCCAAGATCGGGGAAGAAGTCGTCGTTCGCGAAGTCGTCACTGCCAGCAGTCGCGCGAGTGCGCTCCCCAAAAACCTGATCGCCCCTCTCCCGTACAGGATCACGAGAGGCGGGGTTCCGGAGGCCTGCTGTCCCTTCTCCTGGTGCACGCCGAAAGGAAGGATGGAGAAGACTTGATCGGCGGCGCAATGGACTGGAACGGTGGTGAGAAACCATACGAAGCGGCGGCGGCTAGGGTAGACGTCTGCCTTACTATATAGTGCGGGTCGGGTAGGTCGTGGGAGTAAACCCCACGTCGAGTCATCACGATCCAAAAGAATCGGAAATGGTTCAGTAATTAACGCATCCGTTAATTATTAATTAATGACTCATTAATTTTTCCCGAGCAGCAAAAATATGGACAACGTGCATAGCTCTGTCCTCGGCTCGGCTCAATCCCGCAATCCGTCGTGACGAGGCGTGGCGCGGCGAGGCGAGCGAGGAGGAGGAGCGCGCGTGTAGGTCTCCTCTTCTCATGCTCATACAAGTGGTAGGAGAGCTCACCTTATAAAGAGGTGCAACTCTCTCTCAACTTATGAGGTGGGACTAAACTTTAGCCTCACTCACTCCACTCACATGTGTGCATGAATGGGCCGAGAGAATTTCAGAAATTTAGTTGGGCTTTGGGCCAAAAGCCCACTAGCAAATTCCAACAATCCCCCACAAAGTCTCATTGGCACATTTCACCATTTGGTTCCAAAACATTGTTTATATACCGGTGCTTAGTGGAGACTGTGAAGTTGAACTTCCACTTGGAGATTTATGCTACACTAGATCACAACTTGAATAGTGGACTATGCCTTGAACTACAAGTTTTCTGCGAGACTAGTTTCACACAAATTCTTGACCGGTACTAGGCTGCCGCAAGGCTTCCCCGCTGGAGCGTATACGTCGTACTCCAAGGCCTTTCATGAATTTATTAGAGAGCACCCACTTCTCACAGACTGCGACGTTAACGGTCAAATTCATATAGGTGTGTTCCTCAGGAGATGCTCTGCAGGACAACATCTCTGCTTACTCAAATAAGCCACTTGGAACACATTAAGATAGATATCAACCTGCCATACAGATCAGGAGAGTATTGCATCTTCACGGAGTGGGATAATTAAAATAAGGATACTCTCCTCTCAGCTGACCAACAACTTGTCTCCCACTTCTACTTCACGGGATCTTCGATCACATAGAGTGGGTTACCACTATGGACAACTCATGCGGTGGGTCTCAAACCCATCTCCATCGATGCATTATCTATCACATTACGTGATAGACCCTTTGTGAAGGGATCTGCCAAATTTTTCGACGTTTGGATATAATCCAACGTAATAACTCCGGAGTTCCTCAGTTTCCTGACAGATTTTAATCTCCTCTTCACATGCCTTGAGGACGTCATATTGTCCTTAGAACGGTTTATCTTGACGATCACAGTTTGATTATCACAGTTCATCAGGACAGGGGGTATTGGTTTTTCAACCATAGGTAAGTCCATCAATAGCTCACGAAGCCACTCTGCTTCAACAGTGGCAGTGTCTAATGCTGTGAGTTCTGCTTCCATAGTTGACCTCGTTAAGATGGTCTGCTTGCAAGACTTCCAGGAAACAGCGCCACCACCAAGTGTAAAAACATAACCACTTGTGGCCTTAATCTCATCAGCATCAGATATCCAGTTCGAGTCACTATAACCCTTCAGTACCCTTGGATACCCGGTGTAGTGAATCCCATAGCTCGCAGTGCCCTTCAAGTAGCGCATAACTCTCTCAAGCGCACGCCAATGATCATCTCCCGGTTTTGATACAAACCGACTCAGCTTGCTCACAGCAAAAGAGATGTCAGGCCTCGTGGCACTCGCCAAATACATAAGCGAGCCAATAATCTGAGAATACCTCAGTTGATCTCTAGCAATCCGTCGATTCTTTTGAAGCAACACACTAGCATCATATGGAGTTGGAGAAGGCGTGCAGTCGCTATACCCAAAACGACTCAAAACCTTTTCCACATAGTGAGACTGAAGCAGTGTGATCCCACCATTCTCATGTCTCAACAGCTTGATGTTTAAGATAACATCAGCTACTCCTAGATCCTTCATCTCAAAACAGCGAGATAAGAAATCCTTAACCTCCTTGATTAAATCAAGTTTGGTTCCAAAGATCAATATGTCGTCGACATACAGACAAAGAATAACACCTTCGCCCCCACCATGGCGATAGTACACACACTTGTCACCATCATTTACTACAAAGCCGGCAACAGTTAATGTTCTTTCGAACTTCTCATGCCACTCCTTAGGAGCTTTCTTAAGGCCATATAAAGACTTTAATAACTTGCACACCTTTCCTTCTTGACCAGGTACTACAAAACCATCTGGCTGATCCATGTATATTTCCTCCTTCAACTCTTCATTGAGGAAAGCCGTCTTAACGTCCATTTGATGAACGAGAAGACCATGTGAGGCAGCCAGTGATAGTAGCACCCGAATTGTGGTCAGTCTAGCCACGGGTGAGTAAGTATCAAAGAAGTCTTCACCTCCTTTCTGGGTATAACCCTTAGCCACAAGCCATGCCTTGTACTTTTCAATCGTACCATCAGGTCTAAACTTCTTCTTGAACACCCACTTACATCCTACAGGTTTGCACCTATAAGGACGGTCAGTGATCTCCCAGGTCCCGTTAGTTAAGATGGAATCCATCTCGCTACGAACAGCTTCCTTCCAGTAGTCAGCATCAGGAGATGCATAGGCTTCTGAAATAGTCCTGGGTGTGTCATCCACAAGGTACACAATGAAATCATCACCAAAGGACTTTGCAGTCCTCTGTCTCCTACTCCTTACAGGATTTTCATTGTTACCCTCAAGAGTATTCTCAACGTGTTCCATCGCAATGGTGGGTTCAGGAATTACAGTGAGTTCCTCACTAGATGGAATAGGTATCTCCTGATTTGATGAGCTTGACATATCCTTCATAGGAAATATGTCCTCAAAGAAAGTTGCATCATTAGACTCCATAATCGTACCAACATGCATGTCGGATACCTCAGATTTTATTATCAAAAATCTATAGCCAATGCTATGAAAAGCATAGCCCAGAAGAACACAATCCACGGTTTTTGGTCCAAGCTTGCGCTTCTTGGGAATTGGTATATTGACTTTCGCCAAACAACCCCAAGAACGTAGGTAAGAGAGTTTCAAACTTTTCCTTTCCCATTCCTCAAATGGAGTCATGGTATTATCATTTGTGGGAACTCGGTTTAGGACATGACACGCGGTCATTAGCGCCTCCCCCCACCATTCCTTGGAAAGACCCGATGTGTCTAACATGACATTAACCAAATCAGTTAGAATTCGGTTCTTTCTTTCGGTCACCCCATTAGACTGAGGTGAGTAGGGAGGCGTCCTCTCATGGATTATACCATGTTCCGCACAAAACAGATCAAATTCATTGGAAAAATACTCTCCACCACGATCGGACCTAAGCCGTTTAATTTTTCGATCAAGTTGGTTCTCTGCCTCAGCTTTATAGTTTTTGAAGAAAGTAAAAGCCTCATCTTTTGATTTTAGAAGATACACATAACAATATCTAGTGGAGTCATCAATCAACGTCATGAAATATCTCTTTCCACCTTTTGTCAACACGCCATTCATCTCACAAAGATCAGAATGTATAACCTCTAGTGGCGCCAAGTCTCTTGCCTCTGCAGTCTTATGGGACTTGCGAGGTTGTTTAGCTTGCACACATACTTGGCACTTAGAGCCTTTGACAGTAGAGATTTTCGGAATTAAATTCATATTGGCTAGCCGCGTCATGCAACCAAAGTTAATATGACAAAGTCGTGCATGCCAAATATCTGACTCATTATTGTGGCAAACATTATTAATAACTTTAGTGCAAATATCTGACAAAGATAGGCGGAACAAGCCTCCGCACTCATAGCCTTTTCCAACAAATTGTCCACACTTGGAAATTACAACTTTATTGGACTCAAAAACCAACTTAAAACCATCTCGACATAGACGGGAACCGCTAACGAGATTTTTATTGATGGACGGCACATGATGAACGTTCTTCAGACGCACGGTCTTCCCTGAAGTAAACTTCAGATCGACCGTACCAACACCTTGAACGATGGCATGTGACCCGTTCCCCATCAGCACGAGAGAAGTCCCTGTGGCCTGGTAAGAAGAAAACATGGAGGCGTCAGCACAAACATGTACATTGGCACCGGTGTCAATTAACCAATCAGGGGATTGAAATACTGAAAGGATGGTAGGAAAAATACCGTACGCTGATTCCTTCATATCAGTATCACCGATGACAACATTAGCGGACTTGCCGCCCTTCTCATGTTCGCGCTCCTCAAAGCGGTTAGGACACTTCGGAGCCCAGTGATTAGGATCACCGCAGACATGGCAAAGTCCCTTCCCCTTCTTATGAGAATTCTTCTTGAAGTTGGTAGAATGTGATGGCTTGTTCTTTGTATCAAACTTGCCTTTCCCCTGAGTTTTGTTCTTGTTGTTTTTGAACTTATTGGGCTGGAAGTTCTTCTTCTGTACCATGTGGGCACTAGAAGCTCCCTCGGCAACTCGAGCACGTGTGTCCTTTGCTCTCGCCTTCTCTTCAACATCAAGAGTACCAATGAGATCCGCAACGGAAAACTCCTGTCTCTTGTGTTTCAGGGAAGTAGCAAAATTGTTCCACGAAGGTGGAAGCTTGGCAATAATGCCTCCGGCAACAAATTTGTCCGGCAACACACACTTGAAGTGCTCAAGTTCTTTTGCGAGCGACTGTATCTCATGAGCCTGCTGTACAACAGAGCGCTCATCAGTCATCTTGTAGTCATAGAATTGCTCCATGACGTACAACTCGCTACCGGCATCCGAGGCACCAAACTTGGCCTCGAGCACAGCCCACATGTCCTTGCCGTTGTCAAACGACATATACGAATCCACAATAGAATCATCAAGAACACCCAGAAGAGCGCCTTTAAAGAGAGTATCGATCTTCTCAAAAGCTTCCAACTGTGCTGCATTAAGATCGCCCTCAGGCTTGCCCTTAGTGGCGTCATAGCAGCCCATGGTCTGAAACCAGTAGACTGCTCTCGTGCGCCACCTCTTATATTGCGCCCCCTTAAAGGCAGGCGGCTTCAGATGCGCAGCAAAACCACTCGGAGTAAATTGCCTAAAATCAGATTTTTGGATTGTTGAAAATATGAGCAAATTACTACGAGATTTAATCCGAATAAATAGAAAATAAATCATGACTACAGTAGCAGAGATTGAGCTAATCATGCGAACTAGCATAGCAGATGAATAGATCACATCTAGGGCACATACTAGAAACATGAATTCTACCACGATCTCGAACAGGAAAGATAGAATCACGTACGGTGCAGCGGGAGCAGCACCGCCGGCGTTGATGTTGTCGTCCATGTCGTCGAGGATGAGGTTGCCGAGATCGGGGAAGAAGTCGTCGTTCGCGAAGTCGTCGCTGCCAGCAGTCGCGCGAGTGCGCTTCCCAAAAACCTGATCGTCCCTCTCCCGTACAGGATCACGAGAGGCGGGGTTCCGAAGGCCTGCTGTCCCTTCTCCCGGTGCACGCCGAAAGGAAGGATGGAGAAGACTTGATCGGCGGCGCAATGGACTGGAACGGTGGTGAGAAACCATACAAAGCGGCAGCGGCTAGGGTAGACGTCTGCCTTACTATATAGTGCGGGTCGGGTAGATCGTGGGAGTAAACCCCATGTCCGAGTCGTCACGATCCAAAAGAATCGGAAACGGTTCAGTAATTAACGCGTCCGTTAATTATTAATTAATGACTCATTAATTTTTTCCGAGCAGCAAAAATATGGACAACCTGCATAGCTCTGTCCTCGGCTCGGCTCAATCCCGCGTCGCGTCGCGTCGCGTCGCGTCGAGGCGTGGCGAGCGAGGAGGAGGAGCGCGCGTGTAGGTCTCCTCTTCTCATGCTCATACAAGTGGTAGGAGAGCTCACCTTATAAAGAGGTGCAACTCTCTCTCAACTTATGAGGTGGGACTAAACTTTAGCCTCACTCACTCCACTCACATGTGTGCATGAATGGGCCAAGAGAATTTCAGAAATTTAGTTAGGCTTTGGGCCAAAAGCTCACTAGCAAATTCCAACATGGACTGTCCGAAGCAACAACGCACGGAGGTGTGCACCTTCTTCTGCTCTGGTCGTTCTGCGCCGTCTCTCACTTACAAGGTGGTCAAGGTCGATGATGGCTCGGCATGCAAAGTTTTCACTTTAGGAGAGGACACCGGCTGGAGGGTGTCAGAGCCGCCCAAAACCAGTATCTCCTACATGGAAAACTCCCCAGTCACTGTGAACAGTGTCATGTATTTCTTAGAGACGCAACATCGGCGCGGTTACACCTTACATTCCTTTGACATCGAGAGCGAAACGTGGAAGAAGACGATCAGTGGCTCACGCAAACCCATGGGCCCCGATGTGTGCCTGGCTGTGCTCATGGCTGAGCTCAACGGCGCTTTGTGCATGGTCCAAACAGAGAGAGACCACACACCCATGACAAATAATCGATGTGCCAACATATGGATCTTAGCCGATCTGGATATGGGTACATGGATTAAGGCGTATACCATTCCAATGGACGCGTCCACCGATTATTGTAGGCCTTTGAGGGTAACACATGGTGGTGGTAAATTGATTTTCTGCAATACCTTTTATGCAGAAAGACAGGAGATTCGAGCCTACAATCTTCACACCGAGGCATGCACGTCGCTATGCAAACTAGATAGAACCATGGGCAGAATTGCTCTTTGCAACTTGCAGTTGGACCGCCTCTTGTCTCAGCCAAGATTTAGTGTCCACCGTAGCTGAGTACACTGTTTTCTGGATCTCTTGAATACTCCCTCCGTTCAAAAATACTTGTCATCAAAATAAATAAAAAGACATGTATCTAGAACTAATATACGTCTAGATACATCCCCTTTTATTCATTTTGGTGACAAGTATTTCCGGACGGAGGGAGTACATGCATCCAACAAGACACACATTATTTGCTTCAGACATTTTTGGACTTGTTCTTCTAAGTCTTTATGATCATTGTTTACAAGTTATTGCTACATTGTGTGTGCTTATTTTTGGAGATAAACAATAGACCAATTATCAATTATGTAATCTAGAGCTAAGAACTTCCATGAGATTGTTGGTTTTGTTAATCGCTTGCTTATGGTTCAATTATCTTTTTCTATGGTGCATTCATTTATTATTACAATGTATATAGTCGACTATATACACCGTACATTGTATGGGTGTATATGTGAAGATAATTCCAACACGATGCAGTAGCAATGACATCCTTCCTGGCAATGTCATCTCCATTTTACTAGATGCCGCTTTACCGAAGTCTTTGGAGTATTTCTTCCAGCAGAGATTACCGAAAAAGGGTTCCCCCGCTTTGTATACAAAGCAACCAACTGATACAACCAACGATAGGTCCTGGGGCGGAAGCAGCACAGTCACGTCCAAAAGAAAAGAAGAGAAAATACAAGAGAAACAAATGCCAACAACGACGGATCGGCAAAAAAAACGAAGAAGCCTCGTGGCCGCTGCACCCATCAAAGAACGCCCACCAAGCTCCGAGCCTCCGAAGCACCAGTAACAATCAACACCTCCAAGAAGGGATGCGACGATGATGACGCTGCTACCAAGGGTTTCCCCCGGTACGCTGTGAGGAGAGAGGAAGGGTCGCCCCGACGCCCTCCAGGAAGGTCAGGCGGTACCCACAAGCACCACCGCGTCGGTGTCGGCCAAGCCAACAGGGATTTCTCCCGATCCCAACCTCCACCTTAGGCACTCTAGAGCTCGCCACCAAACAGACCCTCACCCTGCGCCAACCCGATCACGAGGCTTCCCACACCGTCTCACCACGGCACCTTGAAGCATGATCAAACAAAGAAGAAGAGGAGCCGGGACTAGGGCAGCAGCACCGTCGGCACGCGGGAGGGCCCCACCTCCACCGTCGAAGACGGTAGCTAACCGGACGCAATAGCAGGAACATACCAGGCCCGGCCGGGATCTCTGAGGTCCGTAAAGTTCCTGCCTTCGCGCTGCAGCCGGCACGCCATCGACGCCGCCGCCCCTGTCCAAGCCGCTCCCCTGCCTCCCCGCACAGAGAGCCACCAAGTGGAAGCACCACCACCACGCGCACCGCCGACCACCACCACCAGGTCGCCGGACCGCCATCGGCCGAACCGCACCACCACCGCACGCACGCGACGGAGAGGAAACCAGCGCAGCCGCCGGCAGCCCGAAACCGAATCCCAGCCGCCGCCCACGCCGCTCGCAGCCCGCGCCGTCTGCCGGGCGGATCCGGCCACCGCGGCGAGACGCGCCCCACCGCGCAGCCGGCCACGCAACG